TAGTTATCGAGAAAGCATTAGAATGGCTCCATTTGAAGCACTCTATGGCCGTGGAGGTGCGAACATCATGTTGAGTTGGTCGGAGCCGGAGAAAGAAGATTCTTTGGAGTTGACCTTGTGAAAGAAACGGAAGACAAGGTTAGGCAAATACAAAGTAATTTGAAAATAGCTCAGTCCCGCCAAAAGAGTTATGCAGATAGACGACGGAGACCATTGGTATTCAACAAAGGAGATTTTGTATATCTGAAAGTATCACCAATGAAGGGAGTTAACCGTTTTGGTGTTAAAGGCAAGTTGGCACCTCGATATATTGGACCATTTCAAATTTTGGAGAGATATGGAAAAGTGGCCTATCGCTTGAAATTACCGAACATTTATCAATTTGTACATGATGTGTTCCATGTGTCTCAGTTTGAAGAAGTGTCTCCGAGTGCACGAAAGCGAGAATGTTGAAGTTCAAGGAGTGGAACTTGAACCAGATCTGACTTATTCAGAATATCCTATCCGAGTGTTGGATCAGAAAGATCGTGTTACTCGGAGGAGAACAATAAAGTTCTACAAGATACAATGGAATCAACATTCAGAAGAGGAAGCTACTTGGGAATCAGAAGATTACTTGTTAGAAAAGTTTCCAGAGTTTCTAGCGTCAATATAGAATAGAATAATGTTAGTTGAGCTCGGTTGCTACAAATTGTGTTTTGTAAAAGAACCTCGGTTGTTTTATGGAAAAGTTCGGATGTTTTGGATTGACACATTTCCTTTTCCATTACTTACTCTATGGCTTTGAATCTCAAGAGATTTCTTTTAGGGGAAGGATTGTAACACCTCGGGTGTTTAAAATACTAAAACCTGACATGTCATCATATGCATTGCAAAGCATTTGGCATTTGGTGAAAACTATGAGATGCATACAATAAAACAAGTTTATATTCATGTGGTATGTGTTGAATTGTATTGGTTGACTCTAGTTCAAAGTTTGTTTGGATTTTGAATTTTTCGAGAAAACCCCGCTTTTCAGCATTTAAATCCTACCCTGAAAATCCATTTCAAAATCTAGACCGAATTAGGAGATGGTTATAGAAGCAAAGTAGTAGAACTTTCGATTTTGAACAACTTTTGTTTTTGGAGATTTTTGAGTTGTTATGAAAATTTGAGAGTAATTTGTGAATTTTGGCGTATGGCAATTTTGTAATTTCTATGAACAGTGTTCACCGCCTAAGCTACATTGCCGTCGGACCTTCTTCGGTGTTCTAGGCGCGTCGTGGCAATCCTTGATGTCGCGCTGGCACGGAAACGGCTCCGTCGTGGCTTCCTTGAGCTTCTGCGCCGCGCTATAAGTACCAAGACGTCGTCATCGTCGTTTTTCTTCTTCCTTTGTTTTCACCACCGCCGTTGTCATCGCTCCAACAAGCTCGCGTCGTCTCCCCAGCGCTGTTGCCATCTCGGTAAAGGCCGTCCTAGTTCCGTCTTTTCCTTGCGAATCAAGCCAGTTATCATTGGTCTTTGAAATTGCCGAGAACTCATTTGTCCACATTTTTCTTCCTCGAGGTCAAGCAACTTCACACCGCTGCAAGGCGTGTCATCGTGGCCAGAGCCCTTCGGTGAGCCGTTGTCTGTACTCAGTGTACTTACGGCTTTGTTTCGATGCTGTAGTCCTTAGTCAGTTGTTGTTTACTCATTTTGATCACTGCAGTCGCCGGTTCTCCCTCACCGACAATCTTTGCTTCGGATAGTTCACCGTAGTGGTCGGTTCACCGTAGTGGTCGAAGAGTTCACCGTAGTGGTCGGATAGTTCACCGTAGTGGTCGGAGAGTTCACCGTAGTGGTCAGATAGTTCACCGTAGTGGTCGGATAGTTCCCGTAGTGGTCGGATAGTTCACCATAGTGGTCGGAGAGTTCACCAAAGTGATCGGTGCAGGCGTGGTCACATCAGTTACGAATATGGTTTGGTTAGTTTGGTTTGTAACTGTACTGCGAAGGAAAATTGTATCCAATTTATTAATTTTTGCATCCATCATCGAGCATCATGTTTCATATTCCACATCATGTTAAACATGGCAATGTTATTACGTGTAGTAAACGAAGGTGAACACGTGGTAGTTAATCAAGTTGCGGAGGAGGTTGATCTGTCTGTTGAGGTCGGATCGAAGACTTGTGAAACGTCGCAGGAGCCGGACTTTTCCACAACGAAGGCAAGCCCGGATGCATACAACCCTACCTTGTGTTTTACAAATTAATTTCGCTTTTGCTTTCAAGCATCGCATTAAGTGATTAAGAGTTAAGTAAGAGCCTAATTGGTGCATTACCACCCTTGTTATTCCATATTTACCATATTACCGCTTTTGAACTCGTATATGCCTAGTTTTGCTTAGCTATCGCGTAGAACGATGAAGTCGGTGACTACACCGCCACCGCAAGTTTTAAATGGAACATTGGTTAATTATGTTAGCATGTGATATGGGAATGTGGAGTAATAAATCTAGGCCCGGGCGAACTTCGGTGTGTGTGAGCCACAAGACATGGAGGTCTTGTGAGCGGGATCTTTCCCTTTGTGTCGATTAAGGCACGTCCGTTGTTGAATTGCATGAGGTGAGAATTTGTAGTACTAACCACATACTCCGTAAGCTTTGAACTTGGCGATTCTATTATGAGAATGGCTACTCGCGACTTTGGGAGTGGAGAGATGGAGGAATAGCGTGTACCCACGTGGCTATAAAATTTGGATTGGTGGAGTCTTTGTATTTCGGGTGGTGCGGACCCGTTCTTGTTTTAGAGGATCCGAGAATAGGTTGGTATATGTAGGTCGGGGACCGCATATGTCGTGGTGGTCTGGAATCCCAATTTGGGTTTATAATCGGTTCGAATCGTCGTTGCTCCTCGGTTATGGAGACTCAACTCACTGTTCATCATCGTAGTAATTAATAATTGGAACTTAAGAATGGTTGATGAAGGTGTTGGATATGAAGTTTCATGATCTCATTACGGATCGTGTCATATTTGTATATGATTTTATGAAGTTTAAACTATTGAAACAAAGAATTTTGTCAAAGAGCTTTTTACATAAAATAACTTTGATTATTGCTAAAACCATACCTTGAATCCTCGAGCCCGCATTTCTGAGTTATCAGTTCTTATTTCGGTTAAGTCTTGTTGAGTACTTTTGTACTGTGGTTCGTTGACCCTTGTTGCGGGTGAGCCTCATGAGCGATCTGTTTTGGATCGTCTTTGCATGTCGATTGTACCTTGTGATGACGTTGAGAAGTAATCAGTGTGTGGCCTTGGGCGGGGCAGCCTCATTGTGTGTTTTGTATTATATTATAATGCCGCTCCACTACTTTGGTTTGTATTAATATCGAACTTAGTTGTACGGTTTGAAACAAATGGTTTGAAAACTATGTTATTGTAAGTCTTCCGCTACTTTTACTCTGATGTGTCTATTTGAATAAACTGTTGTAATACTACAATGACTCTGTAACGTGATCCTGCTCGGAAATCGTGGATGATTCGGGGTTCCCCGAGGACACCCGACAGACTTCTTAAGTTACCAGGAACATATGCATTGTTGTCAAAGGTCTTTGGACAATGACAAATGTATGTGGGTCCTATAATTTAGGAGGTTCTGCCACATCAGGCTAAAAAAATAATGCATTCTACCCCTGCGGCTCGTTGGATTCGAACCCAAGACCTCATGCATGGCCTCGCGCGTACCTTTTCACCCCACCCACACAACACATGTGATCTTGGGTGGGATGCTTTTCTTTTGAACTAGTCTATTGGAGGACCTTTAGTCTGGGTTGGTAACACCAACTAGGACTAAAGGGTCTACCTTTAGTCTGGATTGGTGTTACCAACCAGGACTAAAGGTCAAGGCTATTTAGTTCGGGTTGGTAATAACAACCAGAATTAATGTAGACGCTTTAGTTCAGGTTGGTGTAACCACACGGGACTAAAACTCCTTTGAAGCCTAGAAAACTTGGACCCAGGACTAATGGTCATATTAGTCCCGGGTCCAAGGCTAGCCAAGACTAATGTGTTGAACCGAAAGTTTGTTCTCTACTAGTGAGGGTTGCACATTGGGAAGCAATAACAACATTATATGTGATAATCTCTTCTTCAGATTCCCTTCTGCAAAGTATTGTTGGAACATTCTAAACCTGAACATCCTTCAGCCTCATTTCCTGAAGTCATCCAAGGACTCAGCAACCAACTAAACTGACTTCTTGAATGCGGTGATCGTCATGTTCTAGAAAATCTGGGGCCAGCAATGACTTAATCTTTAAAGGGATTCGTCTAAAAGCCTGTTCGCTAGTTAGTTTCTGAGCTGATAAACCCGGCTGGTGCTGGTTTGTTGTGAGAGGAAAACACTATTGGCTGGCTGATAAGCTCTGGCTGAAACCAACAAGCGAACAGGCTGTTAATATCCAGGATTGCAAGGGAGTCTTTAACAAGGAGTTGGCTCTGACCTCCCTCCTTGCAAAGTCAAGCTCTTGTGTGCTTTTTAATTGATAGGATCCAAAGCTTGTTGTAATTCAGCGCTCGGAGAGCATCTCTTTTCTTTCTTTCTTTTTTTTTTGTTTCTTTAGTGGTTTTGTAAAGATCGTATCCTTGTTCTCATTGTATATTATTTTAAAACTGTAGGGTCTACAGCCCCTCCAGGTTCGTCAAAAAAAAATTAAGTACTCCCTTCATTCTAAATTATAAGTTATTTTGGTTTTTCTAGCAAGGGAAATAGTTTTTGCATCAAGATGTACGTTATGTCTAGATACGTACTAGAATCTATGAATCTAGAAAAGCCAAAACAATTTACAATTTAAAACGGAGGGAATAGTAATAAATAATCTATTTGAAAGGCCGTTATTATGTTTTTATTATTTTCATGAATATAATGGGATTGTTACAACCGAATTCCACAACAAATACAGGGGCAGGCCAAGCCCCTTGCATGTATTTTTTTTTCAGAATATGTCAAATAAGAAAGGCATGCACTCAGGTAAAGCTTATTAAGAGATCTTCATCTGATGGAATGTCTTCATCTCCTATATATATTCCAATTATTTAAGTCTTTTTTTTCAAAGCACTTGCCATGACTAATCATGTCAGTACGCTTATTAAGAGATCTTCCTGTGCATACACTCCATGCCATGTACTCCCTCCAGGTTGGTAAAAGAAGTCGTTTTGGATAAGGTTTGTGTCAAATATTGAAAATATAAATCAAGAGTAACTTTTAAATTGTTGAGTTTGAAAATATGAAAATCACATGAATAGATTTGTCTTAAAAATACTTTCAGAAGCATATACATATAACACTTTTCGATAAATACTTTTAAAAAATAAAAAATCAAAGTTATGCTTTGGAGACCATGTCATTGTCTAAAGCGACTTCTTTTACTAACCTGGAGCGAGTATATATAACAACGGATCACAACTCGCAAGCTATATAGCAAGCCAAAGCACAGGAGAAGCAAATATGGCACGACGTTGTTCTAAAATGCGTACTGATCAATGAATGCAAATTGCAAACATGTATATTTGCATATACGCTTCTCGTACCTGATATGTGGCACAGCCAAAGTTGCCGATCTCAAGCTCCCGGACGCTAGCAAGGGCAGCGAGCATGCTCCCGTAGTGTCTCGGCTCGTGGGCATTCAGCGTGATGTTGGCGTAGTCAAGCTTGGGCTGGTGCCCCAGCTCCCAGGAGCCAGCGCCGGCCATCGTCAGGCGCAGCTCCAGCCACCGGAGGTTGGACGCCTGGATGATCCACGCGCCTGGGATGGCCCCGCCGGCGGCGCCATGCTCGAAGCCGATGTTCGCCAGGCGGAGCTTCTCCAGCGTGGGCGCGGCTGACGAGATCATGGCCTCCAGCCGCTCCCACCCCTTCTCTCCGGAGAACAGGACGTAGTCGAGGTCCAGCGCGGTCAGGACGCGGAACCCGGCGAAGGCGGGTGGCGGTGGCGGCAGCACGCAAGTGACCAGCTTGAGGTCGGCCAGCGCGCCGGGGTTGCAGGCGAAGAGCGACGGGAGCGCGGTCATGTTCAGCGCCAGGGACAGCGACCGCGGGCTCTTGCCTGCAACGGTGCGCACCCAGCCATCGGCGCGGTCGAACAGGCGCAGCGGGATACCGCGGATGCTGACGCCGCGGACACGGGCCGCGCACCGCTCCAGGAATCCCGCCGCGGACTCCCAGTCGCGGACGCGGTCGTCAAGGTCGATCTCTGATGGAACCGACGGTGGCCGTCGAGCCCTTGATCGGCGCCGGCGAGCCCTGGAATACACACGCGAGGGTAGAACACACACGACTACACGAGAGGTGGAGAGCAGAGGAGACAGACTCGTTTACTGCGTACGGGCGCAGCCCCCTTCTGTTGCCGTTTTCATTTATTTATGCATGTTCTATACACGAGCCTGAGGCTCTCCATCCCCACCACGACGCAGTCACTGCACGGTGCGCCCTTATCTTCGGAACGCCCGTGCGACATGCACGGTCGATGGCGTCGTGGCGAGAACCAGTCAAGCAGGGAGCGGTCATGACGCGATCCACGCATATCTCCAGATCGCCCACAATATCTACGCTCTGAACACAAACGTGCAACTAACTAATGCAGCTTGTAAAAGCAAAATAAAACATCGACTGGATTACAAGATAACAAATCACCCCCTTAATCATGTCGAACGTTGATGACGCCAATCCTCCCACGCAGCACGATGAACCTGACTCTGGGCAGTGCTTTCGTCAGGATATCAGCCAATTGATGTTCAGTGCTCACGTGCTCTACATCCACATCTCCCTTGCTGACACACTCACGGATGAAATGATAGCGAGTGTCAATGTGTTTGCTCCTTTCATGATAAACAGGATTTTTGCTCAACTCGATTGCTGACTTGTTATCAATCAGCATCTTGAACTTCTGAACTTCACCTCCTGTCAGATCTGCCACCAGACGGCTGAGCCAAACACCTGACAAGCACCAGCTGCTGCAGCCATGTATTCAGCTTCACAGGATGATAGAGCCACTGACTTTTGTTTCTGGGAGTTCCATGTCACCAAATTTGGTCCAAGGAAGAACATCATGCCTGTGGTGCTTCTTCGATGGACAAAGTCACCCCCATGATCACTGTCTGTATAGCCCAAAAGCTTCAGACCTGCATTCTTCCCTGACACATACTTGCAGCCGTAGTCAAGGGTACCTGAGATGTACCTCACTATCCTCTTGACTGCTGCCCAATGCTCACTGGTGGGTGCCTCCATGAATCTGCTTGCCAAACCCACTGCATATGCTATATCTGGCCTAGTATTCACCAAGTACCTCAAACTGCCAATTATGCTCCTGTACATGGTCACATTCATTTCAGTTCCTTTGAGGCCACTCACCAGCTTTACATGCTGTTCCATTGGAGTATCAGTTGGATTGCAATCCTTCATCCCACACTGTTCCACTATCTTGGAAGCATAAGCACTCTGGCACAATGTTATCTCACCAGGCTTCTGCTGCACTTCCATTCCCAAGTAGTAACTCAACAGTCCCAGATCACTCATATTGAACAAGTTCATCATTTGTTGCTTGAATTTTTTGATCTCCTGACTGTTTGGTCCACAGATGATAAGGTCATCCACATAAACCCCAACTAGCAGAAAAGAATTTCCTTCTGCTCTTCTGTATACAGCATTCTCAACATCACTTCTCTGAAAACCAAGTCCCCTTAACTCAGCATCAAGTTTGGTGTTCCAGGTCCTTGGTGTCTGTTTAAGGCCATACAATGCCTTTTTCAATTTTAGGGCTCTGCCTGCAAATCTTGGATCACTAAACCCAGGTGGCTGTTGCACATAGACATCTTCTTGTAGCTCTCCATTCAGAAATGCTGACTTCACATCCATGTGGTGTACTTCCCACTGACCATCAGCAGCTAGAGCTAAAAGAAGCCTCACTGTCTCCAATCTCGCTACTGGAGCAAAAACCTCATCAAAGTCCACCCCTTGAGTTTGTGCATATCCCTTGACCACTAGTCTAGCTTTGTGCTTGACTATGTTACCTGCAGGATCCCTTTTCACTTTGAATACCCATTTGAGGCCAATTGCCTTTTGCCCCTTAGGCAGTTCAGACATTTCCCATGTCTGATTTTCATGTATTGCCTGCAGTTCTGCCTGCATAGCATTTCTCCAGCACTCCTCCTCTAGTGCTTCATCAATAGTTGTGGGCTCATCTGCAGCCAGTAGGCACACTCCACTGTACTCAAAATTTTGAATAATATCAGTACTGTCAAGAAGATCCACCATTGATCTGAATCTCTATGGTGGTGTTTCTGAACCTCCACTGGAACTGGATCCTGCACCTTCTGACACTGCACTGCCTTGATTTGGTGTGCCATAGTGACCAGAGATCGACCCACTATTCCCGTGTGTGTGTGGTAATGATTGAGCCACTGAGCTGCCAGTTCCCCCACTGTAATCAGCAGTCTGTTGCTCTGTCTGTGCTGCTGTCGGACCAGCCACAGTAGGCTGAAAGTAGTTAACTGTGAAAGTTTCAGCTTCGCCTGCACTGTCCACTTGATCACTCCATCTCTAGGCTCGATTCTCCTCAAATATAACATCTCTGCTGACTACCAATTTCTTCTGTTCTGGATCATATAGCCGATAACCCTTGGTTCCAGGCTCATACCCCAAGAACACCATTTGCTTTGATCTGTCAGAGAGCTTGTTGGTTCCAGGACCAATCAGCTTTACATGTGCAGTGCAGCCAAAAGTTCTCAAGTGATCAACTCTCGGTTTCTTGCCATGCCAGGCCTCAAAAGGAGTTTTGTTACTTAAACTTTTTGTCGGAGCTCGGTTCAGCACATAAACAGCAGTAACCACTGCTTCTCCCCAAAATTCAGGTGGTACTCTCATGCACTTCATCATGCATCTAGCCATCTCAACCACAGTTTGATTTCGACGCTCAACAACCCCATTCTGCTGAGGGGTGTAAGGGGTTGTTGTATAATGCTTGATGCCAGCACCATTGCAAAACACTGAGAACAGATGGGAGTTAAACTCTCCCCCCTATCTGTTCTTAGTGCTTTCAATCTTCCACCTTGATCTACTTCAGCTCTCTCTTTCACCTTCTTCAGATAGGCTAGTGCTTGATCTTTGGTCTTCAAAATTTCAACCCACATGTATCTACTGTAATCATCCACCACTAGTAGAAAATAGGAGCAACCCCCCACAGTGGGTGGAGTAATTTGCCCACAAAGATCTGCATGAAACAGGTCAAGTGCCTTCTCAGCCCTGAAAGTCGTTGACTGTGGAAAGGGTGCCCTATGTTGCTTGCCAAGAGTGCAGCTATCACACACTTGTTCAACATGATCCACCGTGGGCATGCCACTCACCATCTTCTTTCTGCCCAAATCACGTAGGGCTTTGAAATTCAAATGACCAAACCGAGCATGCCACTGCCATGCCTCCTCTGACACACTAGATAAGAAACAAACAGGTGGCACTACTGCAAACTTTATAGTGTATAGACAATTAGCAGTACGAGGAGCACTGATCAGCAACTTGCACTCCCTATCAAATACCTTCAAAAACCCATCCTTCAATCGAACATCACATCCCCCTTCCTCGAGCTGTCCCAGACTCACTATATTGCTCTTCAACTTGGGAATGTAATATACATCAGAGAGTACCTTATGCTCATGTTGTCGTCCCTCGATCACCACGGACCCGATGCCGCGGATCTCCACACATGAGCCATCACCAAAGTGTACCGAGCCGCGCACTCCGTCGTCGAGGTAGGAGAGCGCCGACCGGATGCCCGTCATGTGGTTGCTGGCGCCCGTGTCCAGCACCCACGTGTCGTCGTCGCAGATCATCGGCACAACGTTCTTCTCGACGAGATGCACGCACGCCCTTGGTTCACGCACTGCCCTGCCTGACGCTGCCGCCATGAACAACATCGGTTGTTCTGTATCCGCCACAGCAACGTTCGCCGCCTCCTTCTTCTCCTCTTTTCTCTCCCTCTTCGGCCGTTTACAGTCTTGTACCCAGTGGCCATAGATGCCACAGTTTCGACACCGACCTTTGCGCCGGGGAGTGCCTTCTGAGGTGAGTTTGACGCCGGCGCTTCCACTGGATCCGCCTCCATCAGATCGTGGCTTCCCTTTGGATTGACCACCACCGCCGCCGCCTTCCTTGGACGAACCAGTTTGGAAGCGATGTTTGTGCTTCGCTATCCAGTCCTCCTCGGCCAGTAGAAGCCGCCCGGCCTTGTCGGTGATCTGATCTACCTTGGCTGCTGAATCCTCCATACGATCTTCAGCAGCGCGAAGGCGCCCTACCACTTCCTCAACGGTGAGGGTCTTCATATCACAAAACATCTCAATTGAAACCACAACTTGACTGAGTCGTGATGGCACGACGCGCAGGAACTTCTTCACCACACGGGCATCATCTACCGTCTCCCCGAGGGTCTTGAGATTGGCCACGAGACCATTGATCCTCATGCCAAATTTGTCGATTGTCTCCCCTTCTTTGAAGCTGATGTTCTCAAATTCTTTTAGCAGCTTCTGGGCATTGACATCTTTCACTCGATCAGCACCGAGCCTCATAGTCTTCACCAACTCCCACGCCTCCTTGACGGTGTTCTTGCTCCCCAACGTCGCCCACATCTCCTTCGGCACCGAGCGCAACAGCGCACTCATCGCCTGACGATCTTGTGCGCGCTTCACGTTCGTGCCCGGCTCAATCACTTCCCAGATCTCCAAGGCCTCATAGTTTACCTACATCAACATTGCCCACTCGGTATAGTTTGTGCGGGTCAACATAGGCCACATCAGGGAACTCTCTCGGACGCCGCCTTGAACACTTGGTCCATCACCCATCTTCTTCTTCTCCGCCGACCGCCTGTCCCACGCCTTGTGCTTCTTCAACGCCGGCGACTGTGGCAGACTCACCGACCCACTATAGAATGGATCCACGGCTCCGATACCACTTGTTGGAACCGACGGTGGCCGTCGAGCTCTTGATCGGCGCCGGCGAGCCCTGGAATACACACGCAAGGGTAGAACACACACGAGAGGTGGAGAGCAGAGGAGACAGACTCATTTACTGGGTACGGGCGCAGCCCCCTTCTGTTGCCGTTTTCATTTATTTATGCATGTTCTATACATGAGCCTGAGGCTCTCCATCCCCACCACGACGCAGTCACTGCATGGTGCGCCCTTATCTTCGGAACGCCCGTGCGACATGCATGGTCGACGGCGTCGTGGCGAGAACCAGTCAAGCAGGGAGCGGTCATGACGCGATCCACGCATATCTCCAGATCGCCCACGATATCTACGCTCTGAACACAAACGTGCAACTAACTAATGCAGCTTGTAAAAGCAAAATAAAACATCGAGTGGATTACAAGATAACAATCTCGAGGTCGGGGACGGACTCCCAGCGGCTGATCCACGCCTGCGACAGCACCGACATGCGGACCACATCGCCGGCCGGGAGGCCAGCGAGGAGCTTGTACAGGATGTCGGACGGGAGGTCGTCAAGCTGGCGCACGGCCGGCGCTGGCAGCGGCTGAGCGTGCGAGTCGCCGGTGGGCAGCATCTTGGCTTGGGTTTGGCTGGAGAGTGTGTGAATTCTCGCTCGCCGTAGCCGATTGGGGAACGAATGGGGGGAGACTGGGAGAGCACTTGAGAGGCACCTCGATCGGCTGATATGATGACCTAAAGCTTCCAATTTTACCAAGCTAGCAACAATTAAAAGCGATAGAGTAGTGCCAAATTTGCCAGCAAAATTAACTCACAACGGCAACTGTCAGTGTCAGTTACCCCTCGGCTAGCTGTTTTATTTGAATTCTTCTAGTTGGAGTATGGCTGTAGCCTGTACGAGAGTTTGCTGGCACTTTTTCTCCGGCACCGCGCCGCGCTTTATTTGTAGATGGAAACATGGACTTCGAGCACTACCCTCTGGCCGCCCAAGTGACGATTGGGTGTGAAATATGTCCCAACTAGAAGGTGTTATCCTGATTTGCTGTAGCAGTAGTACTGGCGCCAGAGCTTCTCAAATGCCAAGTTACCAACCGTGTCCATAATTTTCAAAAAAAAAAAGGTGTCCATTATAGCTGAGTATTTCTTTTTTAATAAAAATGAAAATTATTTACTCTATTCTAAATTATAAAATGTTTTAGCTTTTATTTCTAGATACATTGCTTTTGCTATGTATCGAGACATAATATGTATCTATGTGCATAGCAACAGCTACGTACCTGCAAAGCAAAAGCTATAATCCTCGTCAAATGTTCTGTGGTATATTTTAGGTTGTTCCAGTAGTAGCTATGTGATGCCATGTGTATTTTTTATTTTGCTCTTTTTTATGTGATGTTTAATTTGTATTACTTATTTACTTCTGATTATTGTTTGCTTTAATATTTCATTTTTTCTTTCATACTTCCATTTTATCTTATTTCTACTATTACTTGAGTTTTTCCTTTGTCCGCTTTTTTCTGATTTGTTTTCCCTGTTACTTATCGTTTTTTCCATGTTTCATGAAATTTCCTGTGGTACATTTTAGTATAGAATATTATTCTTGTGATGGTTGGATACTTTTTTATTTGACTTTAAATGGTCTTATGTATTTATTAATAATACTATTTCACAACTATCACAAACATCTATTAGATGTAGTGTTGGAGAGTGATATCTGCGAAGCAACAAGTCCTGTGTTCGAATCCGGCCACAACACTAGTTTGATTTATTTCTCTTTTATTTATATGCATTGACCTGTAGCGGGAACGGCCCATGTCGTGGGAAGCCGAGATGGGCCGGAAGCACCACACATGCCGGCGGGAAGCCGAGCTGGGCTAGAAGCGCGTAGGCGGGAACACGGGCCAGGTCGGTGGAAGCCATGCTAGGCCATAAGCGTGCACACGCGCGGGCGGTGGTCGACCCAATTAAGCAGATCGCAGGCGCAATGAGAAATAAAGAGGTCGCATTTGTGGGGATTTATTTTATTTTATCCCCAGGAAAAAATATTTTAATTTTTATCACAAGTAACATGGCACCACATATGGATACAGGGACGCCTCAAATATTGGTGTGCATCACTAACTTGGCAGCTCATGCAAATGTAGAATTGTGGTCTGTTAAAGCCAATGTAGGAGACAACCTATTCATGGGCTAAGCCCAATTCTAGGAGTTTGTTGGTGAAAGGACTTGAATGATGCCTATAAGGGGGTGAATAGGATGTTTACGAGTTTAAACATGCACAAACAAATAATAATTGGCACTGCACCTAGCAGAACTGGCCAATCTGTTTTTTCTGTTGCACAACAGTAGAACTGTCCTAGCTAGTTCCTGGAACCAGCCTGACAGGTTTCCTCTAGGTATCCTGTAGAAAATAGTTAGCTAATGGTTTCTGCTCTTCTTTCTTCCCCTCTTCAATGCAAAGTGTTGTGGGTTGTACTTGGTGCAAATGCGACTTTCTCAATATGTCCCTACACCCATAAACACATACAACCAAGATGACACAAATGGTGGCCCACAAAATATGAAATAAATGCAAGGTAAATGTAAAATGAGCCAAACCAACAGAGAAGACGTAGCGATCTGTTTGACCAAAGTTTGGGCCTCACCAAGTGAGCTCTATGTCTCCATTGTGGAAGCCATGAGTGACCCAACAAAGGTCTACTGAAGCCGGGTCCAAATCGACCTCTTTCCAAAATTGGCCATGGTCCTTACTGATCTCTGATTAGATGTGTCGGGGACCTAATACCAGGATACCCCAGAAGGCGGAACCAATAACCATCGAACGTTAAAAACTTCTGGACGGACAAGGGCACCACTGCGTTCCTTGCCCGAATGACGAAAGTTAGGTTTCGTCTCGCCCGACGCCTCTGGACCAACCCCGCCTCGCCCGAGGGAAAAAGGCCCCGAGGGCAAAGGGATGGCCTCCGTCTCGCCCGACGCCTTTGGGCCAGCCCCGCCTCGCCCGAGGGCAAGGGGCTGGCCACCGTCTCGCCCGACGCCTTTGGGCCAGCCCCGCCTCGTCCGAGGGCAAGGGGCTGGCCTCCGTCTTGCCCGAGGGCTAAGGAATACACTCCGCCTCGCCCGACGACCAAGGACGAACCTCGCCCCGATCGATATCCAAAGGCTGGTTTTATCTTACCTGATAAACTTCTCTCCCATCCCCTCATGATGATAGGTACAGTGCAAGACAAGACGTTCGGGTCAACCACGGCTTCAAGGACCATACCCTGCGCCCCGGTAGGAAAGGTACTGCCAAGGAACGACTGGACAGGTGCTTTAGACCCTCCCGGGCGCCGCAGAGCCCAAAAGGTATTGCAGGCGCGTACTCCTCGCCCTGTAGAGTTGTAGGCGCCGCCTTCAGCTCTGGGACACGGGACCCGATGAAGATACACGACAACCACTACACTCCAGAAAAGGATTTGTAATCTCCACGAATGACGGACATGCCGTCACCACATTATGGACCCAAGGGAGCGGCGCCCGCTTCCTGACCCCTTGGGTCCACCAAATCGCAGGACCTTGCCCACAACGCTACTCCGACCTCGACTCCGCGTCCCTACGACAGAGACTCATAGGGCCAGAAGGCGTGCGGAGCAAGTCTAGGCGAGGTTCATAAGTCAAAACCACTGTACTCCAGCCCATGCCCTGCGCAGGGCACTATTCTGCAACCATCCTGACATTCTACAGAAGCATCGACAATATTGTAGGCGCTTATCTTCCTTTCGCACCCATCAGAATGGGTAAGGAGGCTAGGTAGAGCACAGATCCTAAGCCACTGACCCTTGTAAAACCATCCCCTTCATCTATAAAAGGGGATGCGCCTCCTCCAGAAAGAAAGAGGAACAAAAAAACAAGGCGACACACACATAGTCAAGCGGCTACCAAGCTCTTGACCTCCTTTCGACCCTTCCATCAGAGACTTGGGACCAGTCCCTCTCTCGATCGTTTGTACCCCCTACTACGAACCGTTCACGGTGCTAATAACACGAGCAGCAACAAACTAGACGTAGAGACATTCGGCCCGAACTAGTATAAATCTTGTGTCCTTTAGCGCACCATCCGAGCCTAACGCGCACTACTATAAATTTACTTGCCGGTGCCTGTACGAAACACCGACAGTTGGCGCGCCAGGTAGGGGCTTTGCGCGTTCCAAATCAGGCCTCGGATGGCCACCCATGCAATCAGCTGGGCCCTGGGCACACATGTGCGTTTCGACGACCTAGATTTCATCGTCACACTAGGAGGAGAACTGGCGCTGACCCACACGACTGCACAGTCTCTCCCTTCCATCAACCTCGGCCGCCTGAGGCTTGAGGACCCATGGGGCAATTCCCTTGGACCCCGGTCATCCAGGGAGCCCCCCGCGCAGCATAACCCTGTTTCCGGAAGGCCCCGTACGAGGCGCCCCGACAGCGTTTCCGTTCAGTCTCCGCAGCGACGCGGCGACCGCTGGCCACCTTCTGGCACTACGCATGGTCCAACCACCTACGAACAACGAGTTCGTAGGGGTAATCGAACATGATCCAGAGACACTCTATGGGCTCCTCGCGGAGGAACAAGAGTCGTCCTCCAGCTCTGAGTCCAGCAAGGGGAGCCATCACCCTTCCCGGGAATGCTTCATGATGCAAACTCCCGAGGGTGATGTCCAAAGCGTCTCTGGAGAGGAGACAACCCCAACAGACAACCCCGACGCTAGGATCGAGGCGGAGACAACAGCTCCATCTCATGTAAGGATGGAGCAGCTAAGAGCACGAAAGCTGGAGATCGATGACGCCGGGCAACAACTTGTCCAAGAATACCGAAACATCGAGGAGGAGATCAAGCGTCGCGGAGACGGTGGGCACGCACGCACCTCGGTCCGTGATGTGCATCGGAGGATCCTCACCGATGATGGGACTCTCCCTCACTTCGCTTGGGTGAGCCAGAACATCGCCGCAGCAACGGCCTTGCTGCACGGCCATCCAGAGGCCACGACGTCCGAGGATCGCCGCGCCCGTTGAGAAATTCGCACGTTGCTCGAGCGTGCGGCGGCGTAGCAGGCGGAGAGTTTGTTGTCTCGACGACGCGAACCCGACACCTGCCAGTGCACGCCCTCGGTACGTCCCACCAAGGATGCGTCCGTTCACCAGACGCCGCCAGGCAATAGGCAACGCTCCGCTATCCCGGTACATCAACGTCTCGGCCACAACCATGACATGCGCAGCACCATCAACGCCCGCAGGCGCACCCATGGCAACGAAAGGGAAGGAGCCCGTCACGGCTATCATCCTCGATGCGGCGGACGCTACGATAGTGGCGAGGATCGGAGCCCAAGCCCTAGCCTGCCAGGCCCTCGGGCCTTCGGCCAACACATCCTCAACGCTGCGTTCCCCCGAGGTACCGACCGCCCACCAATATCCTAAAGTATTCTGGAGAATCGAACCCCGGGCTTTGGCTCGAAGACTATCGGCTTGCCTGCCAGGCCGGTGGTGCGAGTGATGACAACTTCATTATTCGCAATCTCCCGCTATTCTTGGCCGATTCGGCACGAGCGCGATTGGAGCACCTACCGTCCAACGCCATTCAAAGCTGGGCGGATCT